CCCCAAAACCCCAAAACCCCAAAACCCCAAAACCCCAAAACCCCTGAATTAATTCAACTGATTGAATCAGGTTCTTTATGCAGAACTAGATTTGCTTCCACTCCTGCTTCTTCTGCTGCTTTTGTACTGATCATATGGTCTAAACATAATCTCTGAACTTTACCTATAGTTTCTTCTTTCTCTATATTTTTCAAACTCAGCGTCATCTCCCGAGTAATCTCTTTCTCTTCTTCTAGTGTCTCTGTTGTAGTTGTTTCTGTTGCCAAAGTCTCTTCTATCGCCATGGTCTCTTCTATCTCCGAAATCTCTTCTTGGTCTGAAGTCTCTTCTGTCTCTGTGGTCTCTGTTGAATCCTCCTCTGCGGTTGTAGTCTCTGGAGTATCCTCCTCTTCTTTGGTAGCCTCCTTCTCCTCTGTTATAACCTCCTTCTCCTCTGTTATAGTTGTTTTCCCTGAGTTTTCTATAAAGTTAGCAGGCATCACATACCTCCTGTTTGTGATCTCAGTTCTGATTTGGCCTCCAAATTTACCTATATTTAGGATGAGACAAGCACTGAAATACCTCTTCCGTATTGTTTGCCTTCTCTGAACCCAAGATCAAAGTCAATCCTGATTTCATTGCCATCTAACATTTTTAAGTTGAGGCACTTCTTAGCCATTTCTGCATCATGCCTGTTGTAATATTCGACAAAGCAGAATCCACAAGGGGTTCCAGTGTTTTTGTTTAAGCCCATTATCACATTTTTGACCTCACCACAGAAACTGAAGAATTCAAGCACCTGGTGCTCTTCAGTTCAGAAAGGTTCAGTTTTGAGGTTTCCAACATAAAGAGTAGTGCTGTTTCCAAGCTTTGTAAGATACTTTTTGGCAAATACTTCCTCACTAAGGCCTCCTCTTGGAGCAGTGCTTTCGGGGATATTTCCTTCTTCATCAGAGAGCTTGGCCCATTTATCAATATAAGGCTTTTCATTTGACGTGATTTTCACAATGTCTTCGTATAATTTGCTTGCCATTTTAGATATTTATGATTAAATTTCAACTTTATATTACTCAAATGGGGTTTTGGGGTTTTGGGGTTTTGGGGTTTTGGGGTTTTGGGG